GGATCAGAATTTTGCGTAGTTACCAATATTGTTTCCATGTTTGCTTATCCCTTGATTGACCTGTTGTGGTTGTTGCATCTTGCATGCACAAAAATTACGGAGTGATTAGATGATTGGATATTTGTTGCCTCGAAACCAGCGAACGCCTTGCGAGGGCGCGTGTAGGTGCGGTCTGATCGGCGCACTTACACGTATCCACGCACGTCGATTCGCAATCACTGGAAGGGACTAACGATAGCAGGGACATTGCACGATTGGATATAGCCGTCCTGCGTCTGCGGCAAAGCGATCATCCCGTGTGAACACGTGTAAGCGCTATTCAACTCGCGCGGCCTACACGTGCTCAATGCTCATACGTGGTGATCACAATCGACGAAGACACACCCTTAGGAATTTTTCGGCTCTACGATGACAAAATGACACGCTCTTGGGGCTCAGATTTGTCGTGGGACCCGGAATACTTCACCCCTTGGATAGAAGAGTGCCTCCGACAGAGGTTCCCTTGCCTAACTAAGAATCGATTGTGTCCTAGGGAGTTCCACTGCGCCACAACCAGCGATCCACGGTGCTCGGAGTTCCCCACTTCAGACCACACCTACTACTTTATTTCCCCCGGTTTTGTCGTTATCTCCACTAACTTCCCTCCCTTCCGTCTTCTTCTCCCATATCATCAACTCAGGGTCGTCCCGTGGAACGCCATAGCCCCCTACTGGCCCCAGACACCCTGCGGAAATTGCCGGTGACGCGGCCACCAGAGAGCCTCGGGAACCCGAGGGCCTAACCCGAACGTACGACGACCGGCGCCACGTGCGGACATCCGACGGCCGGACTCATCAGTATCACACCCACCCCGAATGGACCTTTCAACGAACCGCCGTCCTGAAAACAGACGGATCGAACGGCCTTGAAAGACCGCGCATGCCATCTGCCTTGAGACTGGAAGCGGTCCGCCCCCTCAACCAAATTGCACCCGTATTCCCGAAAAACTCTGCCACAGGAGATCTCAGTTCTGACCTGGGACTCCAGCCCCACTTTCCCAAAAATCCTTGGCACACCCCTTTTCGCACTTCCAGGCCTACATCCCACTCCGATGAGGAAGTCGCGTTGGGTGTGAAGTTGGTATCGGAGCCCGACATGTGGCCGGGTTGTAAGCTCTAAGGGCGCGATAATAGAGCGATCTGGCTAACCGAGGGCGACCCCGACCCCGGAACGCGCCCAGACGCGACCCCGTCATCACTAGAAGCAGATCGGCTAATCGACGGGCCGCCAACATGAATGCTAATCAGCAGAACCCTCTGCAGAACCCGAATCCCCAGCAAAATCCTAATCAACCTGCACCACGTGCACGAGCTCCTATGACGCCACCAGATCTCTATCTGTTTGATCCCGCGCATCATCTTGCTGGAGCATGGTTAGCTATGCTCCGAGCACAACAATATGACGACAACGAAGCTCAGGTGAACATTCCCGCTCGGTTAGGAGGAGACGCCCATAATTGGTTTAGTACCTATGTATGGGTGGATCTTCCAACTTTCGAGTTTCTCCGATGATAGCGGGGAGTCTTCGCATGATCATTTGGGAAAACTCCGCAGACGATGAGCCATCATCGAAGGATGTGGATAGCAGCGACGAAAATGATCCGGTAATCCTGGAACTGGCACAACAACGCATTTATTATCCGCCGCCTAGAACGATCGCAAGAACGATGCATCTAACCAGTCAGAATATACAAAGGACCGAGGCGATGATTTTGGGTGAACCCCTCGTACAAATTTCAAGGATGGTCGATTCTTTGGGACCCCCTCAAACCCTGTACGAAGGAACCTCCCCCCTGCTCGCCCGATATAACAACAAAAAGCACTACTGCGATATCACAGATCTCCCGAAGTCCCTGTTGACACCCGCAAAAGAAGTACGACTGTTACGCCTGGGGGCGGAAGCCAGTTTTTTGGAACCCCCTGGGCGTTTCAAGGCCGAATCAGACGAGCTCGGAGTTAAGATCGTGACTAAACCTGTACCGTGGTGAGATATCTGCGATGGAATCGCCCCGGAAGGAAGCGTGGCCATCCGGGAGGAAGACGCCCAGATGATGACCACGGTGTTCTCCTGGTGATCGAACCATTCGTTTATCTTTGCGCCACCACCCGAGGCGGCGAAACAGGCGCACACGAAGCAGATCGACGTACGGATCTGGGACCAGCCTTATGAATTACACGTTCCATAGTACGTACCTGATGAGATTCATTGTTTGATTGCGGACATTCTGACGGAATATCAGGGAGCGATTAGTGTAACAGACAATGACATCGGCTTGTCGTTGGGCATACAACACGAAATCCAAACGGGAAATTATTCCCCAATTCACTGCAAGCCTTACCGGTATTCCCTGATAAAACGGAAAAAGACTCTCGAACGGATTGGGGAATTCGAAGCAAGCGGTTGGATCGAACCTGCCACTGGACCATGGTCGTTTCCAGTAGTGTTAGTGCCTAAAAAGAACGGATCCATTCGTATAATATTATGCATTGATTATCGTAAGTTGAACAATATCACGATCAAAGATGTGTACCCCCTCCCCCAGATTGATGATTTGCTGGATGCGATTGGGTGTGCTAATTATTTTAGCAAGTTTGATATTCGGCATGGCTTCCATCACATTCTGGTTAAGGAGGAAGATCGGCCAAAAACGGACTTCGTGTTTTTTGAGGGCACATGGCAGTGGGTTCGATGTCCGATGGGAATTTGCAACACACCTGCCACGTTTCAACGAGCAATGAACATGACGTTCCAGAACTTCGTCAACAAGACACGACTTACTCAGGGAATGATCAACTTCTGCGTGAACGTGTATATGGATGATATCCTTTTCTACTCGGAGACCTATCACAGACATGTGCAACACATCGAGTGGACGTTGGGAGCACTAAGGGATGCTGGATTCAAGATTGCACTCGAGAAGAGCGAATTTTTCCTCTCGGAAATTTCGTTCTTGGGGTACGTAGTAACACGTGGAGGGCTGCGACCGGATTCCAGGAAAGTTGCGGCTGTAAAAAAAACCTCAGTTCCCATGTCGCTGACGCAGGTTCGAGCCTTCTTAGGCCAGGCAACGTACTATCGTCGTTTTATCAAAGGTTTTGCGGCGATTGCTCGGCCCCTCATGAACGTGCTTCGGAAGGACCAACCTCTGCAGTGGGACTCTAAGTGCAAGCAGGCCTTTGACACACTCAAGGAGGCCCTGGCCACCGCACCAATTTTGATCCGGCCAGACCCTACCAAACAATTCATCCTTATAACGGACTGGCAACCGGAAGCGATCTCCGCCATTCTAGCGCAGAAGGGAAACGATGGTCGTGAACACGTCGTCGAGTACGCATCACGAACGGTGTCAGACGAACGAAGGAATGACTCAACACCACAAGGCGAGTGCTATGCAGTAGTCTGGGGAATCCAGCACTTCCACCCGTATCTCTACAGACAAAAATTCTGCCTCGGGATGGATCATGAGCCCCTGCTGGCTTTGAAGAAGCTCACCAATTACACCGGCATGATTGGTCGATGGGCGGTACGTCTACAGGAGTACGACTTCGACATCATCCATCGGAAGACAGAAAGACACGGCAATGTGGACGGACTGACACGTCTGCATTGGCCCGCTAAAGTACCTAAGGGCGAAGAGATCATTCCATGGAAAGAACCGGAGTTTGTGAACGGGCCTAAGTACGGATAAGTGACAGTTTTCCCATGTGGCAAGAAGCAGACCGGTGGCAATGGGTGACGGAGGTAATCCCGTAACCCCTCTTTCTCCCCTCTCCTCCGCATCTCTTATCTCCCTGCCTGATAAATTTTGTTATTTTTGTGAAGCAATTTCTCGCGTGTATTCGGTCTCTATGCGTCCTAACGAGGAAGGCTATGCGGAATGGGTAGATTGTCGACAGTGTGTCGCACGAACCCATGGCTCGTGCATCCAATACAGAAATGACAGTAAGTCGTGGCTGTGCCCCTTGTGTCGGGTTGACAAGATCCCGACCGAGGCACGCTTTTTGGATGCCACGTGAGAAGGATTGGAGAAGACCCGGAAGTTTAGAAGGGCCGAAGTATGGACCGATATCGCTTTGATCGCTACCTTAGTGGGTAACCCCCTCCAGGATTTCACCAAGGAAGATCGGAATAGGGCTAATGAAAGGGCTCGGGACTACCGCTGGGTCGAGGGACGATTGGAAAAGCGAAAAACGGATGGTAGTGGGATATGGATGGTAGTGCCGCACTTGTTCATGAGGTATGACTGGGTAAAGACAGCACACGAAGAAACGGCTGCCCATTTTGCCATACGGATTACGAAATCGGCAATCGACAAAAATGAATGGTACTGGTCCAATATTCGTGACGATGTAAAATTCATCATCACAAACTGTCAGGTCTGCGCTGCTGACAAGGCGCTGATCCAGCCGCCGAGATCGATAGTACCAGCGGTAGTTGAGTGGCCGTTTCAAAGGGTAAGCATGGATGCTACCGATATCGTGGTACCTCCTGGTCCTAATAGTTGTGAATATTCAGTCTTGTTGGTATTTGTCGACCATTTTTCGAAATGGATCGAGGCCTACCCGTGTCGCGCGCGGCTAGATGCCGAAATTGCGCGGTATGTTAACCGTTTTCTCGGAATGCACCAGGATACAGAAGAGATCCTGACTGATAACGGGGCGGAATTTAGAGGGGAAGTGTTGAGGAATCAGGTCATACATGGTGTCGCCGTGCGGAATACCGCGCCCCACATGTCACAATCCAATGGGCTGGTAGAAAATGCAAATAGGGTGATAAAGACAGCGCTACGACGAAACATCGCGGTACGGGATCCGAGGCCCTGGCCCGATATCGTCGACCACATCCTGGCAGTCCACCGCGGAACGCCCCACGAATCGACGGGCATGAGCCCCTTCCAATTAAGGACCAATAGCGTTGTTTGCGTTTCGATACCGAGCCTCCCCGATGAGTCAACGCTGAACCGACGGCCCACAAGGGCCACGGTTCGGGACAAGGCCAAGCGACACTTAGAGCTAATGGAACGATCCCTCCCCAGGCTAGCCCGAAAACGCCAGAAAATGACCGAGTTGGCCTACGACCGACAGGTCCGAAGCTACGAGGCCTGGAACGGGAACGCAGGTCCACGATCTCAGTACAAATTGGGGGACATCGTGCAGGTGAGGAAATGTGCTCGTCAGGGTAAGCTAGCGCCACGATTCTTTGGGCGATTCCGCGTGATTGAGCTCGGACCGAACGGCGTGAAAACCGTGCGGCTTGCGCCTGAGGTTTCCGGCAGCCGATCGGCTCGACCGATCATCCGCCACGTGTCCTATCTACGTCCCCTTCCTTCTTCCCCATCTTTGCCTTCATCCGACTCCTCCTCCGCTGCGGAAGAGGACGACGACTGCTTATCACCTGTCTACCCTTCTTCATCTCGTTCTTTCTCAGACACCCCATCCCCGCTACCATCACCATGAACTTTCTCACCGAGCAAGCCCTCGGTGACCATCTCTGAACGCAACGGGGTTACATCTCGGAGATCCGACAGGGGTGCCATCCACGAGTCAACCTGGATCTTCTACGACTGACGCAGTTCTTCTCCACTTCGGGAGTGTATGCAGCGGCTGAGTTCTGATTTGCGGGCAGTCCTCAGGTGGTGGTATTGGCAGAAGCAGTGGCTGTCCATCGGCGATCAGCTCCGGGGATTAGCCACGTGTCCACGGTCGTTGGCTTCAGCGGCAACATCAGCACGGTCAATGCACTCCGGCATACAACCATCCGGACGTCACTGAGGAAGTGGGCGCAGCAACTGGCCACGGGGGTGGAACCGCTCTCTTGCGCGCCAAGGGGATAATCTTTTCCCCATGGACGGCGTCGAGCTCGGAGGGATCCGAGCATTCCAGCACAAGCCAGCGGTGGCGCTGCCAGAACTTATCCCCTTCCAGCCTCCTCGATGAACCACTCCCAACTCTCCACTTTTGCCCTCCCATCTCTCTTTCCCACCTTCTTGCAATCTAGTCTCCACCCTCATCTCTCTTTTTGCTTAGAGCCGCTCGCAGTCCCCCTTCTCGATCCTGGGCAGTGGAGACTTTTGCGCGAGCACTTCGTTGAGCTTTCGGTGTGCCTGGTCGGGGTACGAATTACGTGGACAAGGGACGAAGACCATCGCGAGTGGAGCGAGTACTTGGAGTGGCTGATTATCCAGGCCTGGAGAATGGACGTGGAGGGCGATCCTCTCGGATTCCTGTTCGGATCGGTGCGGCCCAGTCATCGCCAACCAATCGTCCTCGAGCTTACGGTCCCACTCGCGCAGTTAGCCGACGATCTTCCCCTGGAGATCGTCTCGCAAAGTGACGAGAGCCCGGTCCCGCACGTTCTCAAGCGGACCTTAGCGTTGTATCTTCAGTGGTCAGCGTGCCTGGAGGAGCCGGGAAACGACCGCAATCCGCCATCTCAGCGGGATTATCTGAGCCCGTGGGAGATCATCGATCCCGCCTACTTCCGGGATCGAACGGCCATCGAAGACAAGGCGATAGCAGCAGAGGAAGAAGAAGAAGAGGAGGAGGACGACGAGAAAGAAACTCCCGAAGAAGGGAGTTACAGCGAACACAGCGAAGGGGAGCAAAGTGAGGAGGAGGAAGAAGAAGAACAAGACGACGAAGAGGAAGAGCTAGAGTCGGAGGAGTCAGAGTGGGAGATCGCGGCGGAAGAAGGAGAGCAAGCCGGCGCACAAGCGGAAGGCCCCGAGGCGGCACGCAAGAGAGAAGAGATCGCGGTCGCAAAACGACAGCTGGAATTCGCCAGTGAAGCCAATCAGCAGCTCACCGACGATCCGGCCCGAGATCCAGAGCCGCCCAAGCCCGAGGATGGGGACCCAGCTGCCGAGACTTCGGCCGCACCGGCAAGGCGGCGACGAAGTCGATCCCCCTCCCCCTCCACCACCGACTGTCCACCAGTTCGAGCCCGTACTGATGCGGGGCATCGGGCTTCGTCCCCGGTCGTTATCCCGCCGTCCTCTTGACCATCTCACCCTCCGCCAGGCCACTACCCGCGTCACCTTCCCCCGTAACCGCTTTTCCATCGACACCTTTCGCTTCTTCTATGCCACCCGTCTTATTGTCACAATCCATCCCCACCCCTCGACCCAATGCGCCCTTCCTGACTTCTACCTCCATATCCTTCTTCTGAGCGCCGCGTGGCGAGGCCACAATATGGTCGAAGTTTACTGCATGATTACGGGGACTATCCCCGCATGCGAGAACTACGACCATTTCCGCGCGGCACTCTTTCGCACTTTCACCACCCTGTATCCAAACTATCTCGCTTCCCTCCCCTACAACGGTAGTCGCTTCCCCCGCTTCCACCGGATCGTTCGTTATCAAGAACTTCCGGAAACGGTGGCAAGGTTGGATAGTTTCCTGCCCCCTCTTCCGATTAACCATGGAGTGGGCGTATGCAGCCCCTCAGTCCGAATCTGTTTCAACCTGTTAGCCGTCAAACACACACGGTCTGTATGAGTCCCACCACTCTCACACAAACACCCACAAGTAGACACACAGTCTCACACACACATACATGTGAGAGAGAGAGAGAGAGAGAGAGAGAGAGAGAGAGAGAGAGAGAGAGAGAGAGAGAGAGAGAGAGAGA